TTCAATGATTAAAGACAGCTCCTAACAAGTTGCCCTTTGTCACCTAGCTGGAAACAGATATTAAAAAATGTTAAGGAAATTCAGAGTTGTTTTGATTTGCATTTCCCTGATGATTAGGGATGTTGAGCAGTTCCTTAAATGTCTTTCGGCCATTTGAGTTTCCTCTGTTGAGAATTCTCTGTTTAGTTCTATAGCCCATTTCTTTTTTTTTTTTTTTTTTTTTTTTTTTTTTGGTTTTTCGAGACAGGGTTTCTCTGTGTAGCTTTGCGCCTTTCCTGGAACTCACTTGGTAGCCCAGGCTGACCTCGAACTCACAAAGATCCGCCTGGCTCTGCCTCCCGAGTGCTGGGATTAAAGGCGTGCGCCACCACCACCCGGCCAATATAGCCCATTTCTTAATTGGACTGTTGGGCATTTTGATGTCTAATTTCTTGAATTCCTTATATATTCTGGATATCAGTCCTCTGTCAGATGTGGGGTTGGTGAAGATCTTTTCCCATTCTGTAGGCTGTCGCTTTGCCTTGTTGACCATATCCTTTGCTCTACAAAAGCTTCTCAGTTTCAAGAGGTCCCATTGATTGATTGTTTGTCTCAGAGTCTGTGCTACTGGTGTTCTATTTAGGAAGTAGTCTCCTATGCCAATGCGTTCAAGACTACTTCCTACTTTCTCTTCTAGCAGGTTCAGAGTAGCTGGATTTATGTTGAGGTCCTTGATCCACTTGGACTTAAGTTTTGTGCACGGTGATAGATATGGATCTATTTGCAGCCTTCTACATGTTGATATCCAGTTTTGCCAGCACCATTTGTTGAAGATGCTTTCTTTTTTCCATTGTGCACTTTTGGCTTCTTTGTCAAAAATCATATGTTCATAGGTGTGCGGATTAATGTCAGGGTCTTCAATTCGATTCCATTGGTCCACATGTCGGTTTTTGTGCCAGTACCAAGCTGTTTTTATTACTGTAGCTCTATAGTAGAGCTTGAAGTCAAGGATCGTGATGCCTCCAGAAGTTGTGTTATTGTACAGGATTCCTTTGGCTATCCTGGGTTTTTTGTTTTTCCATATGAAGTTGAGTATTATTCTTTCCAGGTCTGTGAAGAATTGTGTTGGTATTTTGATGGGGATTGCATTGAATCTGTAGATTGCTTTTGGTAAGATTGCCATTTTTACTATGTTAGTCCTGCCTATCCATGAGCATGGGAGATCTTTCTATTTTCTGACATCTTCTTCAATTTCTTTTTTCAGGGACTTAAAGTTCTTGTCATATAGGTCCTTCACTTGCTTGGTTAGTGTTACCCCAAGGTATTTTATGTCATTTGTGGCTATAGTAAATGGTGGTGTATCTCTGATTTCCTTCTCCGCTTCTTTGTCCATTGTATATAGGAGGGCTACTGATTTTTTTGAGTTGATCTTGTATCCTGCTATGTTGCTGAAGGTGTTTATAAGCTGTATCAGTTCCTTGGTGGAATCTTTGGGGTCGCTCAAGTATACTATCATGTCATCTGCAAATAGGGAAAGCTTGACTTCTTCCTTTCCAATTTGTATCCCCTTAATCTCCTTATGTTGTCTTATTGCTCTGGCTAGAACTTCAAGTACTATATTGAATAAGTATGGGGAGAGTGGACAGCCTTGCCTCGTTCCTGATTTTAGTGGAATTGCTTTGAGTTTCTCTCCATTTAATTTGATGTTGGCTGTTGGCTTGCTGTAAATTGCCTTTATTATGTTTAGGTATGTTCCCTGTATTCCTGATCGCTCCAATACCTTTATCATGAAGGGGTGTTGGATTTTGTCAAATGCCTTTTCTGCATCCAGTGAGATGATCATATGGTTTTTTTCTTTGAGTTTGTTTATATGGTGTATTACATTGACGGACTTTCGTATGTTGAACCACCCTTGCATCCCTGGAATGAATCCTACTTGATCATGGTGGATAATTGTTTTGGTATAATTAGGTCCTAGATACTAGAGGTAGTTCAAAGTGTGATTAACAACAAGGAACTGAGTGGGATAACTCATTTTGCATAAACTGAAAGCCACTTTCTCTCATGGTGAGATACAGACTTACAGATATCCAGCAGAATTTTGTTGTTTTGCCCTCTGTCAGAAGAAAACAACACCACAGCACTGGCCCAGCACCAAGTTCCTATAATTGATCACCTAACATGTTCAGATACCTCTCTCCAGATTAAACAATACCCAATGACTGTGGAAGTAAAGGGGAAAGTTGAAGCCCACATTACCTGGTGACTTAAGAGACAGACATTCTGCTGCTCTGATATTCATCCTGGAATACACCTCTCCTGCCTGTAAAGAAACCTGGGACCTCTGATTCTCATGAGTCTGATTCCCCCAGAGAAAAAGGTGTGCACTTTCTTGGTCCTGAATGATGTATTATTCAGCCTCACATTGGAAGAGGTGAGTCAACCCATCTTTGCTTTTAAATGCATAAACCCTGAGAGAGGTCTACAGTGAAAAACTTACCTCAATCAGGATACACAAAGGATTCCAAAAACTCTGCAACCATGTTTGTGTAAACACTAAATGCTGAACTTCTGACTTTCCATCAGAGGTTTAGTGGGAAAATAGTTTATGAAAGGGCCATTGAGAGACTGTTACAAGAGTCACAAACCTTGGGCTATAGAATGTTGTCTAAAATAGGCCAAATTTTGTAGAAGGCAACCTCTCTTGGATACAAGCTGAAGAGATGGAAAAAGAGACTGTCTCAGCAGGATTGCTGCCCTCCTACAGATTCCAACTGCAAAGGCTAAGGGACAGATTCTAGAATTCCTAGGTGAAGCTAGGTATTTTAGCCTCTGATACCAGAGTGCATAGAAACAGAAATTCCTCTACACACAAGCACAAATCACAGGAACTAAGCCCATAATCTTGACTGAGTCTAAACAAAAGACGTTCAAGGCTTTAAAAATAGCTCTGAAATTGGCTCCAACCCTAGAACTTAAAGATGCATCAAAATCTTCTCATTTTCACTCTATGACACAACAACAGAGTGGGTTTTACCCAAATGTTGGGGCCATGGAAATTCTCTGTGGCACATCAGTCCAAATGATTGCAACCTGTAGTCACAGGATGACACACTGGTGAAAGATCTGTAGAGACTACTATTAGCTTAATAACATAATGCTAATGAATTTGCTGCATCAAGAGCTGATACTTGTAGTGTCAAGCACAGATGAGGTCTTCCAATGAAGAACAAAAAAATCACCAAATGTTTAATCACTGTTTTGTGCAGCACAAGACCCTAATCCTGTTTCCAATTTGCATCCAGTTTGCGTCTGATGGTGACCTGCAGATGCTCATATAATTCTGTCACTAAATAAAAGATGAAACCAGGTACATGGAAGATGCAATAGTTATTTTACATAAAATGATTTATGTCCCAACCAGAAACCTCATCTCAGGGAGAAAAGAACTGATTGCTCTCACCCAGGATCTCATATGGGGAAAAGGAAAGTCCACTAGCATATATATGGACCATCAGTTGGTATGCTTTTACAAATGGGTATGTCGTATGTCAACTGTGTAGAGATTTATAGAGAAGATGGCTTCTCACTGCTGGGAAAAGGACATTAAAAAATCTTGGCCCTCCTAGGGAATATGTGGCTTCCCCTAGAAATTGCTGTCCTCCATGGGCACATAGCCAAACTCACTGTCTGACTGATGACACTAAAATATCTGGGATCTATTGATGTTCTGAATGACACATACCACAGCCCAGTACTACCTGAGATTCCATGGTAAAGAATAATGGTCAGTACAGAATTATATGTTGATGAAGAATACCAAAGGTAAAGGTTATTCTCTCAGAAATAACTGGCAGGACACTGGTAACTAACCTTCAACAGGCTACTCATCTGGGTACCACAAGTTTCTGACTTGTTCAGACCAAGGAATGCTATACCTATACTGGACATACTAACATGGGCTCTCTCAGCCATATACTAGGTTTGTGCTGAAGGGAAACAAAATCAGAGAGTACTTACCCAGTAAAGGATCCAAATGAGAGAAGAGCACCCTGTCAAACTTTGAAAACTTTGCCTTCCCCAAGATCTGACTTGCTTGTGAGAATAAAAATACTTGCAACTTTTTTTGAAAATGCCATTTTTGAGTAGGTTGAAGTGTTCCCCACCTAGACTGAAACTGTTCCAATTGTAGCTAAAAAGCTAAGGTATAAAGAGATGCTCTGATTTGGCTTCTGTCTAGCAATAGCACCCATCCAACAATATTCATACCTGGTATTCATACCCCAAACCCTCTTAATTAATAGCTATTGCTTTAGACATAGAGTTCTGTGGATATCTCTCTGTATAAATGAAATGCTGACTGGCCAGTAGCCAGGCAGGAAGTATAGGTGGGACAAGCAGAGAGGAGAATTCTGGGAACAGGAGGGCTGACTGAGGAGAGAGCTGCTGCCATAAGCACCAACATGTAAGATACTGGTAAGCCACGAGCCATGTGGCAAGGTATAGATTTATAGAAATGGGTTAATTTAAGATGTAAGAACTAGATAACAAGAGGCCTGCTGTGGCCATACAGTTTATAAGCAATATAAGTCTCTGTGTGTTTACTTGGTTGGGTCTGAGCAGCTGTGGGACTGGCAGGTGAGAGAGGTTTGTCCTGACCGTGGGCCAGGCAGGAAAACTCTAGCTACAAATGGTGCCCAATGGGTTGGCAAGAGTTTCCACCTAAAACCTGAGAAAAAAAAAGATTCTAAAATGGGGCTAAAACAGCTTCCTAGTTGTCTCTCTCAAGTTAGCAGCAGCCTGCGGGTTTGAGCTACTATGGCGGGTTCCTGGCATGTGTGTTTGACCAGCAGTATGGTGGGAATGAGGCATCTACAAGCAGCACATTATGCTGCTGTGTGGTGGATTTAGTCTTTGCTAGTACAAAAAAAAGTTTTCTGGGCCACATGATGCTTTGATAGAAGCATAGACCCACTGTTTCTGAGAGTTGATAGCTCCCAGAACTGGCGGTAAAAATGTACCTCCGCCATGTTGGTATGCTGAGGAGCCAGCAGCCACAGCAGCCATTTCAGTCTTAGAAATGCTGCAGTTTAAAACAATAGATTCACAATAAGGCAGATTCAGATGGAACAAGACTTTAAATGCTTTACAATGTGTGTAGAAATGTACATATGCTTGTTAGAGAGAGAAAAAGAAATATACACAGTTATATAAAGAAATAGATAGTTTTTAAAAATAAAGTCTTTAAAGAGACAATAAAGGTAGTATAAAAAATAAGCCATGTAAAGATGGATATTGCACAGAGAATCTGGATTGTGTTGTCTTTGGGATTTTTAACTGCAGAAAAACATTTGATTGCAAAAACTGTTGAGCTAAATCAATATGTACATTTTAAAGGTACATTGACTTCAAAATTTGGATCTAAGGATATGTTGCTTTGGAAAAGAGGCTCTGCTTTTGTTTCCACAGAAAGCCAGAGGTTATGTATTTGTTCCAGATTAAAATACATCAGGTTTGACCAGCCAAGACCCCCTGAAAGGTCTCCAGTGACACCATGGCCCAGATGATCCAGCATCCAGAACCATTTCAAGGCAACTGGCTCAGACAATACAGCCTCACAGACTACCCTATAAGCCTAAAAATTTCTTTGTGTCCCCATAAGATACAGTGACCCCCTCCAGCAGGAAGTAGTAAGAAAAGCTATGCCCAAATTCCCAAATGTACTAAGCTGGCTTTGAAGATGGAATTGGCTCACTCCTTCTCTAAACCCAAGCATATTCCTAAAAGAAAAGGTTGAGAGATTCTTATGTCCCATATCAGAAGAGCCCTCTGGTGTGGGACAGAGAAAAACAAATATTTTTATTTAAAGCAGGTTGATTATATTAAATGCGATCTGTTTCTAAAGAAGAAAAGGGGATATGATATAGATATGATAGGATGAAAGGGTAGATTATTGAATCTACTTTTAAAGAGCAACTTGTTTGAAATGTTTTACATTGCTATGGATTTTAGTTTATTGATACAAATTTAAAGTTAATTTTATTTTACTGTATGTGTATTTTTACTCTTGTTTAAGGTATTATGTTTATACAACTCATTTAAATTATAATGGAACAATTAGTCTTCTATGATAGTCAAACTTATAGTCATGTTAAGTTTTCTAGGTATACATGGATATATTTCAGATAGATACATAGTCTTCAAATACTTCAAAGCCCTACAGAATATGGCATTTAAAATGTTTTAAAAATTTAGACTTTCTGGACAATGAGACATGTCTTCTCCTGGCAGCACTGATTTACTTTAGAGAGGAGGATGGATATCAAAGACACTCCATATGGAGTTTATCTTTACCTTGACAAATATAACCATTTGGGCAAGAAACTGTTCTTGCCTGGACTGCTTGATCAACTGGACATGCAGGACCCATAGGAAGGTGACCACTGAACTTTGCTTGGCAAAATGGTCCTTCAGGTTCCTGCTTCACAGAGGAAACTGCCAGACATTCTACAGGACACAGAGAAAAGTGACTGAGAGACTCTAGTCCTGTGGGCTGAAGACAGATGCCCCAACTTTACAAAAGAACTTTGGATGACTGTCCAGTCTGCCAGCTGTCTCTGTTTACTCTCGCAAGACTCTCAAAAGTTGCTTACATTCTCCTCCCATTTCTCAGGTAATATTATATCCTTCTGAGGTCTTTGATGTAGTTGAAGACTAGATATAATTTTCCTAGTTATGATAAAAGGTAAGTTAGATATAAAACCTTAGACTCACAAATATAGGATAGATAGGATATCTTCTTTAATTTTGTCAAATACAAATAGACTAGATGTTGTAGCTGTGATCCTTGCTTGATAATTGTTTTGTTATATGTAATTTTACTATGTGAAAGTTAAAACCATTCTTTTTGAAAAGAAAAAAAAGAAAAGGGGAAGTGCTGTAGATATCGCTCTGTATAAATAAAATGCTGATTGGCCAGAAGCCAGGCAGGAAATATAGGTGGGACAAACAGAGAAGAGAATTCTGGGAACAGGAAGGCTAACTGAGGAGACACTGCCAGCCGCCACCATGAGTACCAACATGTAAGATATTGGTAAGCCACAAGCCATGTGGCAAGGTATAGATTTATAGAAATGGGTTAATTTAAGATATAAGAACTAGATAACAAGAAGCCTGCTGCAGCCATACAGTTTGTAAGCAATATAAGTCTCTGTGTGTTTACTTGGTTGGGTCTGAGTGGCTGTGGGACTGGTGGGTAAGAGAGATTTGTCCTGACTGTGGGTCAGGAAGGACTGGAGAAAACTCCAGCTACAGTAGAGTAAAAACTTCACTGTGCATCTAGAACTCAGAATTCTGAGCTGGTAGAAAGAATGAACAAAACATAAAAGGAAACTAACAAAATGCTCATTAGAGTTCAGAGAAAGAAGGATATGCCTTCTTTCTTTGCTTTGCATCAGTTTTCTGCACCCAATAGAGGGAGGGATTAACCAGCTTTGAGATTATATTTGGAAGAATTCCCCACCTGCTTCCCAGGCTCAGAGATAAGCATTTGACAAAACTCTCTAACCATTCTTCTATCAAGTCACTATGGTCTCTCCAGTTCTCCACACAAGCAATTCACCGAATTATCTGAGATACCCAGCCAACCTCTGAGTCCACCACCAATTTCACCTAGCTTAAGAAGAATTATATCGTCTGTCTCAAGTGGACAGCCAAAGGTACACTGGAACTAACCTGGAAAGGGCCATACAAGGTCATTCTCTCCACTCCTCTGGTGGTGAGGGTAGGTGCTAACACCTTAGAGCCACCACACCCAGATAAAGAAACGGGAAGCCACAGATGCTGCTCATAAATGGACTATGTCTGGAATATGGCCTCATTAATCATAAGGTTTCATAGGTCCCCAGGCTCTTCCATTTCCTGCCCTTATACCTCTTCCTGAATCTTGTGTTTTTCACTGTGGGTAGGAACTGTGGGTCATGGTCCAAACCGCACTCCTCCAAAACTGGACTTGAAATTGAGGAAGATAGTTACATAGAAGGTACTGGTTAGTTTTGTTGCAGACCAGCAGACTTTATCCTATCTTAACCATTACTTGCTGATACCTACTTTAAGTGTTTGGTTGTATTGGAGAAATGAAAGATGTTGGAGTTTATTTTTCAGATAGGAATACAGAGTTTACAGTTCCATACATGCCTTGTGTCTTGGTCCCCTGGTTGCCAGAAACAAGTGACAATGGAAGGAAGAGCTCAGAATCATGATTGAGTTAGGTGTAGAGCCATTGTCATTGCTAATACACAGAAGGAGGACACATGGGGAAAACTGTGCCAGGTGACTTTCTCTGTATGAGTTATGCTCCAGAAAACTGATACCTATATCTCTTTATTGCTTTTTTTCAATTCTGGACAAAAACAGTGTACATATATTTATATGTATTTGTATTGTTTTCCTTAACTATTTGTCCTCTGAAAGATAGTAAAACCATTTATTCCTATTATTCAAAACCAATGTTGATAAACCTTTGTCAGTCCAAGTTAGGGAATTTGTTTAAAATATTTGACATTTTATAATTAATGTCCTCTCCTGAAAGTTTCATGGACACAACTGCCTAAATATGATATGAATGAGGAAAACAATAACAGATATACCAAAATGTCTGGGAGAAACATAAAAAGGCCTTAATCCTAAACAAAGAACTATAGGCAAATAAGGAATGTGAAGAGTCAGAGAAATAGTCTTCTACAGGGAAGAGCAAGCCAATCAAATATCAAATATCAAATGGTCACCCTCAAAAATATACAGTACAGTAGCTTTATATATTCTGAACTGTCTGTATTTAGGAATAGTATATACAAACATATATGCATGTAACAACATTTTATTTTTTACTTTTTTGATTACTCTTGAAATTTATATTTTATTTTCCTTTTCTATATCATTTTTATATAATTTTTTATTAAAAATTATTTTTTCTTTTACATACCAACCCCTGTTTCACCTCCCTCCTCTTCTCTTGCTCCCCCACCTACTTCCATCTCACCCCATCCCCTCTTCATAGACAGTAAGGCCTCCGTTGGGTAGTCAACACAGACTGTTAACAACAATTTTTTAAACAGCCTACGAATTTGAAAGAAAGGAAGCAGATGTATGTGGGAAGGTTTGAGGTAATGAAGGAAAAGAGAAATGCTCTAATTATATTATAATTTCAAAAATAGATGAAGTAATAAAATATTAAAACAAGCATCCCAGTGCAAGATATTTTAGAATAAGCTGCCACTTTTGGATAAATGTGTGAAACGTCACACAAAAGGGCATATATTTATAGTAGAAGAGAAAATCTCTTAACATCCAAATTGTGAAACATAATGTTCATATAATACATGAATTTATAATACATTATTAATGTAAGAAATGTTTGTATTTTGGGGGAAATTGACTTTGACATATCAAGTCAAACACATTTTTAAGTAAATGGGAGGGATTTGTTCTTCATCACATATATACCTATAGATAATACCAATTTTAATTTGGAAGGATAACAGACACTATATATAACAGGATTTGACATATGGGAGAAAATATGGTTCACCCAGGGCAAAATCCTAGCACTGAGTATGGGAAGAGTTTGATGTCAACACACACATGGTGGGAGGTCAAGTTGTCCTTCCACAGATGATCTCTCACCTGCATGTGAGACCTGAGGCATGAGTGTGCATGGACACACACAAAATTTGTGGTAAAAATGCTTTGAAAATTCTGTACCATGTGCATTTCAATAGACTATGTCATTTTGCCTAGAAAAGATAACTAACATTAATCTGAAAATCTGTATAAAATTTTAATGTTCATATATCTTATTGTCTGAACAGTTATCATAGCCTTAAAGTGAAATCCATTTAGTAATTTTTAACACACAGAAACCAATGTAGTGGAGTGAAGTTCCTGCCCACCGCTTATTAGTTTCGTAATCTTGATAACTAAGATGAGTATTTCTAAGCATGTAAAAATTCAGATGCAATTGAAAAGAGATACAGAGACAGAGGCTCAGCGAAAGATAACAAATTCCC